CACCCTCGTCAACGATACGACGGGAAAGGAAGACGATGAGGTCACCCTTGAGGCAATTGCTGCGGTGGATGCTCTTCTTGAGCTGGACGAGATGTCCTTTGAAGGCCTTGAAGGCAGGCAATTTAGCCGAAGTGGTCACTATACGACCGGAAGAAGAGATCAACTCGTCGCCGCTTCTGGACGCAGCTGTCCTTGAGGACACCAAGAGGGTGCTGATCGCACGAATTGTATCGACGGTCCTGGAGGATCCATTGGATCCGTATTATTTTATAGTGATGGAACACAAGACGTCGTCTCTAAAGACCCGCGGTCAATCCTAACTCCGGGCCGAGGTGTGCGTCATTAGATCGAGCTGCTCTGGGAGCTAAATACTGCGTAACACGCCAATGGCCAATGTCCAAGGAGCAGTGTGACGTCATTGACTCCTTCTTTTGCGCGAAGCAGGACGCAGGAATGGTGCGTGAGATCAAGTCTCCCCATTTAACACCCTCGTTTTGTGTCCGGATACCGAACGGCAAATGGCATATCGTTCACTTTCAATCAACTCAACGCTGCCGCCATTCCGCACAGATACCTTATTTTTAGGAATGATGTTCTCGAGAGAAACATGATTGGATGTACAAAGTATAGTGCCTTCAACTTGGTTAAGAGTATTACCAATTGCTCATGAGAGCGAGTGATATTCAGCTGGCAGCGATGAGTACAGCAAGCGGCTTGCTCTGGAAGTGGCTGGTAATGCCTTAAAGACTGTCGATTGCACCAGCAACAATTAATCATCTTGTGACGCAGTTGTTTTGGCTCCACCGGGCGTATGCACAGACATATTTCGATGACATCTTCGTCCACAGTCGTGCGGAACGCGGGTGGACGGATGAAGAAATCCACATCATCCATTTCAGAGCGATGCAAGAGTATATGCGCACGAATAAGCTATATGCTAATGCACACAAGTGCATCTTCGGTGACGAAGAAATGCCTTTTTAGGATGCTGTATTGGGAAGCGTGACTTCCGAGCGGATACCGCTAAGGTCAAGGCCATTGCAGACGATCCGGTTCCAAATAATTGCGCAAGTGGCTTAGCCCCGCCAACTACCTGCACAAGCACAGCGAGAACAAAACAGAAATGGCACGGCTATCGTCGAATCTCCTCAAAAAATGGATGCAGAGTGGTATTGGGACACCGAACATCGGAAGGCTTTTGGTGTGGTCGAAGACAGCCTCTTTCATGCACCAATACTGGCGTTGCCAGACCCTGATCGCCCTTTCAGTGTTGTTTGACGCTTCGGACTTTTGCATCGGCTGTGCACCGCTGCAAGCAGACACCGAGGGGCGAGATCGGGATCGGGTGATCGCGATTGAATTTCTCCAAGAGAAGAGAAGAACTACTCGTGCACGACATGGAGTTACTTGCGATGAAGTATGCACTTGTCAAATTTAGGTTTTCACGACACCCCACTCAGTGGTCATCTTGGTCTTAAAAAGCCCTACAGCTCTGTGAATTGCCACTACTAGTGGTCCAAGCTGTACAAATGGACGAGCAAACATGTGCACACATGTGATTTGTGTCAAAGGGTGAAATCCTCTCCAAATGCGCTGGCGCCGCTGGCCAGTTTGCTGGTACCCTTCGGGTGTTGGTAGTTAATATGCATGGACTTTGTGTTTGGCCTGTCGAAGGAATCGGCGGGCAACACGGTAATCGTGATCTTCGGCGACCGTTTGAGCAAGATGGCCCATATTGCGGCGGTGTCGAACACCATCGACGGGGTACATCGACGCTGTTTGTAAATCGTGTATTTCGATAGCACGGACTCCCGGAGTCACTTCTCTCTGACAGAGACCTAAGCTTTAATGAGAAGTTCGGTTGACGATCGTCAAGATGCTGGGCACCAAGCTGGATATGTTAACAGTGGATCATTCGCAGACTGATGGTCGATTTGAGCACGTAGATCGCGTCGTTGAAGACATCTTTCGCAGCGTTTGCGCTGTGAATCCGAGGCGCTGGAGCTCCATGCTACCACTCGCAGAGTTCGCTCTGAACAATGCAGCGCATTCCTCTACCGACTACACGCCGTTCTATGTGAACGAGCTCGTTCATCCTCACGTCCCGCTGACGCCGCCATCCAAGGTTCAGGGCTTGGTTGGGGAGAAATAGCCGATCAGCTAGCTGAAGTAAGCCCTCTGACTGTTCGTAAAGAAGTCGATGACTCCCTGTCTACTAGACTGAGTGTCTCACGACACGTTTGCGATGCGATTGCTGAATGACAAAACATGCACAAGAAATATGCAGACGGAAGAAGCAGAAGAAATATGGAAAACGTTGAGGTCGGGGACCTAATTTAGTTAAATGCTAAAAAACCTTCCCACACATGCGATTTCTGCTAACTTTAAGACTAAGCTACGCACACGGTTTATTGTACCGCTCAAGATTGTGACCAAGCAGGTTTTTGCGTATACGCTCAACCTTCCGAAACGGATGCGCACCCACCCGGTGTTTTATGTGGGCTAGCTTAAGCCGTACCGGGATCCAGCGCAAGTGAACGCGGAAGCGTTGGCGCCTGAGCGGCGTTCACAAGCACTCGACCACCCAAAAGTTGAACCAGTACCTGGTTTTGAGCACGGAGTGCAACAATTTCCATCTTCAACGGCGCCAAACGCTCCGCCTTCGCATGAAGCGACGCATTCGTCTGCTCAACGACTGGGAGTCGCTACGACAGAGCGCGTTAATCCTCGACATGAGGTAGCCGGTGCAAAAAGTGCTCCAGGCTATCTAGGTCTTCCGCGCAGCGGTATGCGACCCCTGCATCGGAGTCCCGATCGCGACGGACCTCGCTCTCAAGAAAGCGAAGAGCATCGCGAGTCACTGGATGGCGATCGACCCAGTCGTCGTTCGCCGCCGTCTTCTAGACGAGAATGGTGGTCTCCAATATCACATGGAACGTCTTGTGGGTTGACGTCGTCGTCACGGTCAAATTCAGCATCTTGTGAAGTGGCGGGCATACCCGGACTTCGAGAAAAAGTGGGAGTTTGAATCGGCAAGATCGCCCAGACGTTGTGGACGCTTGTAATCAGAGGGATCATGACGTTCCGTGTCATCGTAAGCCCCACGCTTCTCGGCAAGCCAGGTAAGTCGGATGGCCATAATCTGTGCTCAAGCAATGGCCCTGATCTGTTGCGGTCGCAGACTCACCAGTGTTTGAGACCACAGAGCTCGCGGGAGCGTGATTGATCAATCCATTTGTCGCAGGACGACAATCAGAATGAAGTCGGCGACGCGCCTTGAGTTTGGCAAACTCAAACCAAAGATGACGTTCCACACGCGCGTCCACCTATCTTTGCTCAACAGTAAGTTGTACAGCGAGGAAAATTTACGGTGCTGCTGCACCCATCGCTCAAAGAGCTCTTCGTCATCTGCAGCGGCTTTGCCAGGGGCGAGCACCACAGAAATCATCCGCATTGCGGGTAGAGAAGCGCCATCTCCTTGAGCACGAAGTTGAGTGCGGTACGTATCCACCGATATTTCTTATCAAGAAGCGAGCTCGAACAGCTTTTTGTTCTTCAAGCTCAGCGTGTGTAGTGGCCGGGGGCCCGACCACGCCCGACCATCGAGTGATCGCGTCCTTTGCTTCTGTAGCGGGATCCGCCGATCGTAGGTCGTATTTCACACAAGGGTCAAAGACCGACCGTGGATGCACGCGCATCAGAGCAACTCTGCTGACAGCATTCCGCTGCTGCTTCTGTGCTTCGTCGAGGTGATTGTTGATGATACCACTTTTCCCGGAAGTCGAGACTTTGGGGAACAGACACGGTGTCCACAAGATTCGAGCAAGCTCACGTCGCGCCGCTGGGGCACCTCGCCTTCTTCTTCTTCCCATCTTGGGAAAGAAGAATTCAACCTGTAGTCGACTTCCTCCAGATCCCCGACGACGTATTTCATCGCCCGTGGTGGGCGCGGTGCGCTTTGCTCGGTTACCGAGAGTTGGGCTGTGCTTTCCTTGAAGCCGCGGACGTGCTGTCCGGGATTGCGCCGCGTGCAGGAGACGAAGAAGGGCTCCACCCACAGGTGTTCTCGGAACCAGCAAGGCTGGGTGTCTTCCATGTCCTAGACATAGGGATCATTGAGCAGACAAATGGAAGAAGGTCCTGGTGATGTTGTGGTGTCTTAGACACGCGTGCCTCGTTCGAGGCGACAAATGAATGTGAACTGTAGGTCTTCACAATCTTGAATGGGGAGAGTGTAACGGGGTCACACAATATTGTGTGATCACACAATGGTATGGTTTCACAAGATGGTCTGACACACAATGGTGTGGCTACTCTCAAACAACTAGACAATTCGTGGCAGAATTATACATTTAATTTTAATATATAGATAGGAAAACCTATAGATTTAGATACAGGCGGCTTTACCGCAGATAAAACCGAGAAATAAAGTTTACATTTTACGGAAGAGCTAATTAGCCTTGGGTTAAGGTTGTAATTTCTCTTGAAGCAAGCGAAGTGCGATCCGCTACACTCGCACTGGTTCTAAGTGTAGAATGAAGGTCGCCGACCTCCAAGCGAAAAAGCTACGGCAGCCCCGCTGCAGAATGCGTCCGTAATCATGTCCGTCATCTCGTTACGTCATACACATACATTCAGTGATGCGACTACGATTCCATCCTCAAAAGATTTCACTAGTAGACCACCGACATTATATCCGTCAATTTCGAGATGTAATGTGCGTACTGCGTCAAGTTTTGGACTCTTCATACTTCATCAAAATGCTCAATGTATATTATATCTATCTCATACTCTGACCACTAAGTAATTTTTCAGCTTTTGACCAAATTGCACACGAAAGCGGAAGTAGAAAAGCAGGAAAGAAGCAAACTGGATCAATAAATGACACGTTTATGGCCCCACATTTACTTGTCGCCTACAAAGCGGACAACGCTTGGCAAGTAAACACAGATATGTAATACAAACATGATAATGATATATTTTTCATGCAAACGAAGATTCTAATTTGCGCGTTCCAAGGCGTCTATTAAAATTGTATCGAGCAGTCTCCTGCCAACGTCAAGCTGATGTGCACGAGATGCAGCATTTTCGAACAGCTCTGGCAGAAAGTTCACCTTAATGTCCTTTGCTAGTGGGTCAAAAAAGTAACCGCTTTCCACAAGCGTATCAAACACCTGTGCATGCAAACTAGTCAAATAATTTTTGGCAGATGCACGTGCCGCTACTTTTTCTTCCAGTTCGGCCTGTGCTGCAATACGTGCAGTCTCTTGGTCCAAACGACGCTGCTTCTCGGCAAAGCGGCGCTTTGCTTCTGCTTCAAGACGCTGTACCTCGACCAACTCAGCATTGCGAGCTTGCTCGAACAGCTGCTGGCGTTGAAATATGTCTTGAAGCTCATTCTCCTCCAGTAATTCAAGCATTCCAAGCTCCAAACCTTTACCGACCAGAACCTCTAAAATGGGCTCAACCTCCAAGTCAAAGTCGAATAAGTCGTTAATCTCAATTTGTGTGGCTACATCTACGCCTGAAGGTAACGGCACAAAAGTAATCGGCGGGTGCAAATTCAGCAGTGCATCAGTCTGCGTGTCCACATCCACTTCCGGTATTCTGTCCGTTAATTCTTCTAGGTAGCTGTCTGTTTGAACATCCATGTGCGTTCTTCCATTGATTGGTGGGGGTGTGGTTGGGGGTTGATCCTGTAGACGTTGTTGCTCCTGTTTCTGATATCGTGCTGCTCGGGTGGTAAGTGTGTTAAGTTTGCGAGATTCCCCTCCTCTTCTTCCTGGGCTATCAGGGGTCTCCTGCATCAAAATAGAATTAAGAAACTTAAGGACCGCGAGCGTCGCTAATACTGCGCACCTCCCGTATCACGTAGGCACTCCCACGATGCACGCGCTTATTAAACATTATATTTTGCGAGCGTTCGCCATCACCATTGCTATGATAGTGTATAATGTGATCTTTATCGAAATCAATCAGACAGAAATGAGCAAACTCACACGATTGTGGAGCTCTTAATGCGTCTGGTAGCGACGGAGCGAGGCGCGGTTGAAAATTCGTAGCCGCCGGTCTGCATAAAGGTGTTAAAGGTCGTGTTATTCCTTTCGAAATCCTTGTCGTTTTTGGCCAATGAGTAACCCTTTCATGTACAAGTTCTTTATGCTCCATTTGAAGTCAGTTGCCATACTGTAGACAAGAGGTAGCATCAATTTGAAAAGCAGATAAATTATTATGTCCTGAAGGTCCAACTAAACATGATTCTGGTTTCGGCGGAATCATCTGGTCGTCTTCGCCATTGTCGCAGATATTGACTTCAGAAATATTTTCGTTTAAGGGGGGCTTTTGTACTCTATATCATAACGATCCACTTTTCACAGACAAGATGTTTTAGACAGACAAAGTTGAAATCAACTAGATATTATATTTGAGAAAAGTGTCATCATAAAGAGCCCATCCTCTCTTCTATTTAGAAATCTTGAATGAAATTTGTGATTTCTGTAATCAAATATCCGGTGGCAGACGATTCAGGCGAAGTCTTCGTGAATCCACGGGTGGGTTGGTGGCATGATGAGCAAATCTTCCAAATACATTTTAAAGGTTTGGTCTGCATTCTTTGTAGACTAGTTGAACCCTTTTACACTTGTGGAGAACATGTGATGCTTGTGTGAGTAAAGGCTTAAATATTGAGGAGATCTTTATGATAAATGAGGCAAGACTGCCTTCATAACATCTGCTGAAGCCCACTCTGCCCGGCCATGACCCATCACAAAAGTTGTGCCATTTTTTCGCATTAATCCCCACCATGGGCTGGTTGGAGATTACACTTGCCTTTGTTAAGGGAATTTTGACGGTGTGCTCTACTCGACCGAAAATATGTAACGAGTCCACTGAAGTCTTATTAATAAACACAGACTGACGTGGCAAATCTGTCACACGAACTTATGCAAAATTCGTGATTAGCAAAACAACCATTGCTTTGTCGCTAGCGGCATGCTGGACCGGTGCAGACGTGCCTGCAGTAACGCAATGAATCAATTCCTGATACAGTAAAACCTGTATAAATTAAACATGTTGGGACTGGGGGACAGTGTTTAATTTA